TCTGAACCATGGCCATGCATCTGTGCCCGCTGCTGACAGGAGGGTGGATCCTGGCACACATGGCTTCAGAGTCAGTGCCAGAACCCCTAGGCCTGAGCAGTCCCATCGCCTCTGTAAATGGCAGATGCTCCAAAGAGGGCTGGAGACACCACAGGGAGATGCTTTGTGCTGTCTCCACTAAGTAAAAAGAAGGGCTTTCTCCTTTCTTCATGTCTCCTCAGCCGGATGCTGTTTCAAAGGGGTCCCTCTCCAATCACTGCTCAGCCTTGTTTTGTGCAAAATACTGAATCTCTGGTATAACGGGCTGCTATCGGCTAGACAGAGCACAGCAGCTGTGGGAGCAAGCCACAGTGGGGACCCTCAGAGCCCCTTGCCAGGCCCTCCAAGGAACAGGACACAGCCACAGGCTGCTATGATATAAGCCCACCTGCCATCCCCCCTCTGCATAGGATATCTGCCTCATCCCATATCCTCTTCTTCCTCTCCCAGTGTCTCCCAATGTTAACCCAAGGATGATGGTGCCTACCATAGGTTTGGGATCTGACTGCCACCTGGGGCAAGGCCCATCAATGGGAGCCTGGGCACAGCCACAGGAGCTGCCATGGCCATGGGTGCTAGGAAGCAGCGCTTGACGCCGCAGGGGCTGAGGAGGTGATGCAGGCTGTGGAGATGTGGGGTGGGGCCTGCCAAGTTGGCTGCTTAGGTTACTAAAAGTGATTAGCTCATTGCTGATGAGCTGTCTGTAGGCAGGCCTCTGCTCTCCCTGCCACGCTCCTGCTGCTGCGTTGCACTTTACGGGGCACTTGTAAAAACTGTGAAGATTCTCCTCACCCTTCAGTTGGTTCTCTCAAACATCCCCCAAGAGAATAAGGATGGAGAGAAGGAGGGGTGGATCATACAGTAAGGGCAATGAAGGGATTTTGCCTATTCACAGCCCAGGACACATCCTGGACCCAAATGAGATGTACTTAGAAATGACACTAATATCAGAGAGAGGAGACCTGAAAGCCAAATACTTCAACTCCAGACTTGCTCTACAGCCACAAAGTTAACTCTCCTAAACCAGCTTCAGCAGTCACTGCAGGCCCTACACAAATACTTTTTTCCCTAGTGCTGGCATCATGTTATCGCAGTGGCACCCCTAAGCAAAGCAAGCAGTCTGGTGCTTATGTCCTCACGGCCTGCCCTGGTTCCTCTAAGCGCCGAGGCACAGAGGACTAGGGGCGGTTGCAGTGCAGCTGTGTCACTGCCACAATCTGGCTCACAGATCAAGGCCAGTAAATGAGAGCTGCTCCCCACTCCCAGCAGCCAGTCTTTGAGGTGGTGAGTTAGACACCCAGCTGGTGTCTCCTCTGACAGTGGGAAGAGATGAAGGGAGCTCTCCCTGCAGTGAACGTCAGGGCATTGCAACTGCTTGAGCTCAGTGCTCCAATCTGCTGCGCTTGGAAAAGGAGGCTGGAAGTACTAAGAAAGGAACCTGGCTTTTGGAAGCACATTTCTCAAAGGAAGAGAGACAGACCACAAATCTGACCCCAAATGAGGGAAATTGGCTTCAAGAATTGGTAGCTGGGAGGAGAGTGGCATTAGTATCTGTCTTCAGAGCCCACTCACAAAGAAGCCGGGTGCACACAGGGCACGTGTCACCATATTATCTGCTTGAAAAGTGTTATTTGAGGCAAAGCAAGAAAAGGCCAGTATGATCCCAACTGCTTCAGCACATACAGATAAGGTGCCTTGCACCAGCTGTTTCTCCCCAGTTGCTGAGGCTCAGCCATGGGGTTTAGCTAGATGATGCTCCATTCATTTCCTTCCACTATTATCATCATGACACTGTACTACTTGCCAGAGAGGAAACTGCACTCCCTTCCGGGAGATACTTGCAATCTAAGCTGGAAAAAAGGGATCAGGGGTGAATTCCTGGCTTCAGAGAAGTCTGTGAGAGAAGTCTCCTGTTAACTTCAGCAGGGCCAGCACTTCAGCCAGGATAATGCTGGTCCTTGGAGATGGTCAAGGGGTTAGCTAACCGTTGTTTTGAGCTTCCACAGGGGAAAGAGGCTCCATAGAGGGGGTTGAAAAAGGAGGAGAACGCAGGCCAGATGTGCTATGCCAAGAGCTAAAAGCAGAGAGGAGAGGTTCAGTCCCATGACTTTTGGCACAGACCGTAGACCTTGTGAGGTCAGGCTGCAGCTTGCTGCCTAGGGGACAGTGTGGCTCTTCACTGAGTCACAGGACAAGCCACTCTGCCAGAAGGACCTGTTGGTGCTCAGCAT